GACTAGGTTGAGATTAAGTTGAGATTAGGTTGAGATTAGGTTGAGATTAAGTTGAGATTAGGTTGAGACTAGGTTGAGATTAGGTTGAGATTAAGTTGAGATTAGGTTGAGACTAGGTTGAGATTAGGTTGAGATTAGGTTTAGACTAGGTTGAGATTAAGTTGAGACTAGGTTGAGACTAGGTTGAGATTAAGTTGAGATTAGGTTGAGATTAGGTTGAGACTAGGTTGAGATTAAGTTGAGATTAGGTTTAGAATTGAGACTAAGTCGCGAATAGGCTAAGAAACTTTTAGATGTGTAAGATCTAAGACTAAGGCATCCAATTTGATCACCATAATCACATTCAACACGCAATCATATTAAATATTCGCCGTAATTTTCTTTAATTCAATTATTTTCATAATAGTCCCGAGCGACATTTATCCGCTCCATTGCAGCCATAAGGCGGTCATAAGTCGTTGCCTACTGCCAACTGCCTTGAGTCAAGGCGAATCAATAATCACCATACGAATGCCTTATCGCCTTGATGGCAACTCCTGACCTCCATATTTCCGCGCGCAAGGCTGTCTTGAAACTGCCACCGACTTCTGACCAACTTGCCTTGTAATCGCCTGGGTGTTGACGAGGTGGTGATTACAAGGCAGTTATTATGGCAGCAAAAAACTGTTATAATTCTGTTATATTTTTTGATTTTTTGAATATTAAATGTTCGTTAGCTAATTTGGTTTTGTACTATAATTAATAAGAAAATGAGATTCAAAAGTTTAAGTCTTATCACGACTTAAGTCTTGAAAGGAGCACGAATCAGTTAAAGTTTCATGCCACAAAAGATACTATTTAAAATATCTTAGGAAAAGTATAGAAACATTTCCTCGACTTATATTAGTCATTTCTGATTGTACTTGTGAAGTATGTTGCGACAATGCTGAAATCGGTGGCAGTCATATGACAGCCTTGTAACTGCCTTAGCAAGGCAGAAATTTTAGAAGAAAAAAATTTGTTTTTGTGGCAGTCGTATGGTAGCCACAAGGCAATGCAGTATGAAGCAGTGCCTTGAAATCGACTTGTTCAAGGCAAGGCAGTTTGGAGGCAATCACACAACTGCCATCGCCACAAATTGTCGCTCGGGAGTTTATTCGTTCCATCCACATCAGTGCGGAAGGTAATGTTCTACGCAAAATAATAAGAAGTACAAAAACAACATCAAAAATGTAACAAGCAATAAAAGTTACAAGAAGAAGATGACGAGTTAAGGAAGAAATAACAATGAAAGGCGTGTATAGGATGGTTTTATAAAAATTATATATAATTTAGAGAATCTTTGTACATATAGCAACAACAACAGGAGAAGAAGAATTGAAGGCATTTAGGCATATTTGTGGCATAAATCTTTTTTGAAGAAGCAACAACATACATATACGCAGTAGCACGACGGGCGTCGAAAGGGATGAAAATTGGAAGAGAGAAAAAACAATTTAACAATTGTTAACATCATTACACGTTCCTCAATTCATACTTTTACCATCAGTTCCTTACAATATTTCTTATATAATTTCAAACACATTTTTCATATTTTAGCTTCCTCTTTTTTTTTTAGCACGCGGAATGGTATTTATGTAAAATTTATTTTTATTCTTCCACCACCAGCAAATGTGCCATGCTCGCTTGCTTAATTTCGTTCGTCTCGTTCTTCTTCATCTTCATCTGTGTACTTTTATTTTTGTATTTTTATTTAAAGTTATTTTCTTTTCTTCTCGCTGTGCCTTCAACAAAACAATAATTGAAAATTAAGGAAACTGACGTCATGGTTGGAACGGAAGTACGAGGAAGCTGGAATCATTGCCTTGGTCTAGAGATGGATACTGACTGAGTTTGTTTGTGAAATTTAAGGATTTTGGGCATTTTTATTTATTTTTTGGGGGAGTCTTTGCTATAGTAAGAGCTATAGGAGCTAAAGTAAGAGTTATCCTCAATTTTTGAGCTTAGACAGTTGGAAATACCAAAGGCTAGTTTCTCAAAAGATTGAAGTCTATAGTATCGAGTCAAATGAAGGTTAACTCTACAAGAACTAGATACAGACAGAAGCTTCAACAGTTTCATAATTTTTAATGGAAATTGGTTCGATTCCCATTTATTATAAAATGACAAGAACTCAAACTATCTATCCAACATCCTCCTCCTAACCCTCAAAGTGGTAAAAAATGGAAAAATCAATTTTTTTGAAATCAAGATTCTTTTAAGCATTAAAATCTGAACAGTCTTTAAACATTTAGAAGATTTCAAAAATAAAAAAATTGTGAAGAAATTCTCCACCATTGTTGCGTGCCAGCATTTAAGGAATTCATGGAAAAAAATTCTCGAAAAAAGAAGAAAAAAAATTCCAACTTTGAATATTATTCTCGCTTGCTCGCGCTCACGCCAAATGAAGAAGAATGCTGAAGCAATTCCTCAAAATGGGAGAAGGAATTTCTCCTTCCTTTTAATTATTTTCAAATGAGTCTGGGCTAATGGAATGGGTTGCAAATGATTTTTTCTCCATCCTCAACTTCTTCTTTCTCTCAATATGATGCTGCTCAAGCTTTATAATTATGCTTAATAAAAAGAATGAAAAGCATTTAATGAAAATTACAGAGTTTTAAGCATCAGAGTGCCACTTATTCCTTAATTATTGTATTTTGAACTTTTTTAATATAATTTTTTTTTCTTCTCTTCTTTCTAAGAATGCAATTGCTCATTCTATTCATTTTCTCGCCAAGTGCTTAATTACTTCCTGCTTGAGCACAATAAAACCTGGCGCAAAAAAATTAATTTTCCTGAAATATTTTTAACGATTATGCCAATGCATTAATAACGAGTTAACTGTACGATAAAAAAAAGTTGTTTTTGAACATGTTGACACGTGTAAAATTTTTATTGTTCATTGCGTTCATTCGTTATTCATATAAGTCACTTCAATTTCGTTCATTCTTTACCATTTATAGCTACCACATGCATTATTGATGAGATATATTTTTCGTTCTCGATAATTTTTGTGAAATGAATTTTTTTGTTGATTTATTTAAATGCAAACATTTTTAAATTCCTGGTTTTGTTTTCTTTTAATTATTTTGGGATCGATTCTTGGATAAGATGTTTAGTGTCTGTATTAAATTAGATCTTTAGATTTATAATCTAATCTCCAGGCTTTAAACTATTAAGAGTTCATTTCTACTTAGAATTTACAGCTAAAAATGAGATTCGAACCACTCATTTGATGGCTTTAAATGTTTAAAGTCCATAAGGGGTCGTTCACTTATGACGTTCATCAAAAAACCTGATTTTTACACCCCCCCCCCCCTCCCCCCTCTGTCACAAAAATTCTATAGAAAAAATTTTCATTGTTTGTACTGTCACAATATCCTAGGCCCCCCTCACCCCCCTGCCCTAAATGTTGGACGTCAAAAGTGAACGGCTCCTAAACGAAATCTATGACCGTTAACTTCAGAGCCAAAAGTGAAGAATTGATCTAAATGATCAAAAAGTGATTGTGCCATTTTTAAAAGCACGAAATCCACCAAGCCACCTTAGTAAGTTCATCAAAATGATAGATTTTAGAACATTGAGGTTTTTCTAGCTTCAAGCCTGGTTCACTATATTTCTTCATTATTCTATCAATGTTTTTGAATGTCAAACTTCGAGTATGTCATCGACATCAATATAAATAGATTTATTTATTTGATATTTCAATACTTATTAATAAAGAAATTCTATAAATGTCTATTTTTATGAAAAACCTTGGCAACTAGCTCACTAGTTGCACATACGTAATATGTCAGTTCATCGCAATGAAATTCAATGCCCGTAACTCGATTTACATGACGAGAATAAGCTTCTAGATTCATAAAGTAATATTTTCAACATACAAGCACGGTGAAGTGGAAAAATATCCTTGAATCGAATAAATATGCGTACTTCTCGCTTTCACATTTATTAAATTTAGTACGCAACAAAAGAGTTCATGTAGTACATCCGATAATGTATGGAAAAAGATATAACATGAATCAGCAGATATTGTGTATGCGTTGTTATTGAAATATAAAGTGAACGATGAGAGAACGTACGCGAAATTTGATAATATTATGATTAGGGACTAAAATATTCTGTGCTAGAGAATGACGCACGTGAATTTTGCTGATTTTCGCACTATTTTTTATCTCTTCATCTCACACTCTTCACGTGAAGTATTTATGAGCATTCATTATGCTGAAATTGCTGTGTTTGAGCATCAATTTTAATTGCAATTCAAAACATTTTATCGAGTGCGGAGATATGAGGCGGATACATTCAACATTTCGACTATACAGCAAACAATGTTGTAGAATTATTGTTGAAATTTCCATTTAATTTAATTTAATTTATAAACATTTCAATTCGTCCATCCGTTTTGGCTTCTCATGTTGGATGTATTCTTCATTTATTTGTGAATTTTGACTTTACAGTCGCTATCGTTATAATTGCACGTACCAAAATGGCACAAGTTGGTTAGTCGAATAGAAATGCGGGACCCAGCCGGCCTTACTTTAACATGACTCTGGATTCGATTTAAAACCAGCACCATATCAGAGTCACACTAGATTGGTGCCGGATTTCTGATCAATTAACCTTGTGCCATTAACTTGTGCCATTCGGGGTAGTTGAGAGTTGAATTTAAATGAATCAGCATTGTTGATTTAAGAACCAAGATCTTGGTTAGTCCAAATATTGCTCAACAAGTTAACAGCTCTGAAAAGTGACCATTAAAAGTGTCAAAATTTCCATAACCAATAAATAAAATTAATATTTAAAGTTTCTCTGCAATACTAGTTAACAGCTATCAATTAAGCTCTTTAGTCTTCACATACTTATACTCAACAGCCCCTTGTCGTCATCACATTCCCCAAAAACTAGAATGAGCGAGTAAATGAGCGTAATCTCCGACATTCAATTAATTAAACTTTCACAGAAACTGCAATCTGCCTTACCATTCTTATCCCTTTCATTCAGCATTTTGCCATTAATCAAGTTTATGACTAGAACAAGTTTGTAGACCAAAACACTTAAATATTCATTAAATTTCATTTTCGATGGTTATTTCTCTTAAACATTCATTAAATATTTAGGAAAACTTTCATAGACCATAATGCATAGACACAGACGACGACCAAATTCGTGTTTATTTCCTTCCTTGTGGATTTTCATATTTCAAACACAAAACAATTTTTTTTGTTGTTGCACACTTTTTGGTTTTCCAGCCTTAGTCACTTTTTCACTTCATTGCTTCCATGCATTGGACTTCTATTACATAACACTATGCTGGAATATTATTTTAAACAAACAAACTTTCACTTCTGGTCTTTTTTCTTCACCGACTATCATTAAGTGAGTGTTTGCACATTTCTGTCACATTTCATGTCCATAAGATATGGCTATAGATATGTATTTTTTTGAGAACATTTTCTCTTCATTTAACCTTTTCTTATTTCCGGAACAACCCGCTTGGTCACAATTTAATTTCACTTCTTTTTTCTCTTCCTTTTCGTTACTTCGTTCATTTGAACTGCTCGGGATGTTTCAGCTTCTATAAAAAAATTGGATAAAAATTGTCATCAGATCGAATGAAATTATTATTACTTTTAACAAACGATGTGGAAATATAAATTTTTATACTCTCTACTTATGTGTGATTCTTTCATTGGCAGTAAAAGTTTCTTTTTCATCTGGTGAATTTAAGGGGGTCTTGAAATGCTAGGAATGCATTAGAATGAACTATTAGCGTTGCAAAAGATTTTTTGGTAACCATTTCTCATGCTTTGGAACTGAATATGGTACGAGTGACACAAGAATCAATTAGGGACCGTTCACAAACATTTAGGGAAGATTTTATGACAACTCCAAAGAACTCTTGGAAAGAGGTTGTTGGTATTGCATTAGCTATAGAAAATTGGCAAGAGGTTGCCAGGGATGAAGCCAGTTTTAGACGGCATCTGAGGGAGGCCATAGATCACAGTTGATCTGTAAGGTCATCAAAGTAAAGTAAGTAAATTTATGACAACTTAAGCAATGGAATTTTTTTTCATAGAAGTTTTGTGACAAAAATGGCGGGAAGAGGTCAAAAAATCATTTTTAATTAAATGAACGACCCTTTAGACAATTTAAACTATCCATAATAAGTACGACCCCTCAACCCATTCAGACAAAATTTTCCACTTCAAATAGCACCAAATGTTTTTCATCCACATTATCCGGATATTGCAATGAGAAATGTTTTGTGAATAAGATTGGATTTTTTTCTTCCTTTCTCGTGTGTCGGTGAAAGAATAAAAAGATAAAGAGTTCCTTTCTCCTTTCGTTCTCATCAGAAAAAAAATATCTTTTGAAACGACCTTTCCTACATGCTCATCGTTATTGAACATTAAAGAGAAATGAACTTTTGAGAGGATGAACAGAAAGCAGAGATGGGGTCAATGGGGGTTAAGAGGATGTAGTCTGATGCAGAGTTGTTGATGGAAGTAGAGATTTTCGGATGTTCTGAGGCTGGTGGACTATGGCGACTGCAACTGTTGGCTTCACTAATTTAATCTAAAATTGCAGAACAACATGCTGGCCATGAGCATCTAGATTCTTGAACTTTCTACCTAAACCCAGAACATCCGATACCAGCTAATCTCAAAAATGAGCAAATTTGTTCCATTTTCATAAGCTGCATCCATAAAATCATATAAAAATTAATGCGAAAAACCACAACATACACAGCTTATTACAATAATCCATCCCACATCTCAAACAATTGATCACAACCACCCCTGACCATGCGAACATACAGAAAATTCTTTCCGCCTTAATATAGATTAAGAAAAATATGATTAAATATTGCGGAAAGAGGTTCATTCATTAATGACGTCTATCATTTACTGTGATGGGAATGGGGGTCTGTGATTTTGTGACACCTCAATATAAATGACATTTTCACAAGAAAGGGGTTTCTGAAAATATTTTTTGAACAGACGTCATCCTTGAATGACTCCCAAAAAAATATTTATCTCCTCTAAACGCCGAACAAAAATTACATTTTATTAACATTATGCATTCCATTAATCTCTTAAGTAGCTTCTCTTCTCTTTATTCAGTCATTCTTCTACCCTTATCAAATTCATACTGTTGCCTCACTTCTTTCTGCTTTTAAAAAAAAGTAACCATCCTTAAACCTACAAAACCGTCGTCTGACTTAGTGAAAATCGATTTTTAATATCACACAAAACAAGAAAAATTTTCTAGTTCACTGAATGCATAAATTAATATTTTTTTCCTTCATTTTCATTATGGAATTCTGCATTGGCTCCCTTGGGATGATTCTTGAGAGATCATGAGATTTATTGGGAAATCTGAGGGTTGATTTGACCTAAATCTATGTAAAACTTTAGATACTTGAAATTATAATTGTTTAAAAATGAAGACACTGCAGAAAATCAGTTGACTTGAATACGTTGAGTCCAAAACAATAGTTCAGTACCTAAAAGTATGAGATTAAGTCCTCTGGTCTGTTCTAAACGTGTATGACAATTGCAGCGACGAAAAAAATAGTTGAGCCCAGGCTCTAGCTAGTAGGCTCTAGCTAGGCTATAGCTAGTAATAATAATGTGAAAAGGGCCCAGCCTTTCAGCTAGAGGCACAGCGATTCAATTAGTGTAGCTGGTAGTAGTCAAGAAAAAAGTACTGCTAAAAGGAGATTGAAGGGAATTAAATGTCAAAATCAGCTTGTTCCACAAGTCAAAAAACTCACAATAACCATCCAATCAATCTCAACAAAGGTACTCAACCAACATATCATTACCTTACAAAATCTTAAGCTGAATTTGAAGGATGAAAATCATCCAAATCGTATTACAGACATTTATCCTCAACAAAAGAAGTAAATTCTATCAAAAAATATCAGATTTTCATGTAATTGACTTGAAATAATAACTCAAGTAATGGCCAAATATCTAACGACCATTTATATCCCCAATTGAGTTAAAAATATATTTTTTTCGACATAATTTGTTAAATAAGATCAGATCAATAAAAAGGAATTTTTTCACACAAGGGTGCATGTCGATTCCTTTCGAATGAATTTTTATTTCATATTGAGAATCAGAAAGAAAGGAGGGAAATGATGATGAGATTGTGTGTGTGGAATGAGAGGCATTTTTAGAGCTAGTCACAGCGGAACGAGGAAGAAATAAATGAGGAAAATGAGATTAAATAGCCATTCAGTTTTTGTCATGCTTGGTGACCCAGGAATATGACATTGGACTAGCTATGAATAGTTGGAAATAAGAAGACAAATATTGTTTTGATTTTTTTATGATTCTCTAGATATAGCTTTTATTGTGCGGCGGACCAACTCGAAATGACAATGATGAGATCGACGAGATAAGCGAGAATGAAACGAAGAGGAATCAGAGGAGCATTTTGTGACTTTTATGAGATTTATATTTGATTTTCATTGCTCCACAAAATACCAAAACAGAAAAAGGAAAGAAATGATGAGGAAGAAGAAGGCCGTGACGAGCTCTTGACATGGGGATGATAGGAAGAAAAATTACAGAGAGTGTGTTTTCAATGTCTTATTGTGGACATAAAGTATATGACAAGGAGTGATTATTCAGAAATAGGATGGCATTAAGTCACGAATTTAAAAATACTGCATCCACGTAGTGAACAGGTAAATACCAAGAAGTACATCATTGTTTCCAAATGACTTTCATTGCCATGATCTATGTGTCGCTCGGGTTTTATAGACAGTACTATTAAATAAGTCATATTTTTCCGAATATCCAACAAATACTATGAACCATTAAATAACCTTGCTTTAAATTTCAACTCATTTATTACATAGACACAAACTTTACTCATCATCCTTAATTTTAATAAATATTCTACAAAAACATCTTCAACTGACTCCTTTTCATTTCAACAACATGACCATGACAACAACAGTAACATCTCCTAGCCTTCCAGAAGTAGTTTCAATTTCCTCTTCTTTTTTAAAACTGTTCTTTTATGTCAGTCACATTAAATTTCCTCTGCCTCAAGCATAGGCCTGCAGAAAATTCTTATTTTTATATCCACTTCTTGTTCCTGACAATAATAAAGTCATCTCCGTCTTCTTTCCTCTCGCATCTTTTGTCAATGTCGTTACCGTCTAGTAAAATGACCATGAATAATTGAAATTACTGTGAAGAAAGAGAGACAGAGACTGTACAAAATTCTTATGAAGAAGCCTGGGGGATAACAACACGGTAAAAAACTGAGGGGACAACAGCATGATCGGAAATTAGATGAGAAATGTTTTTGAAAATTTCACATAACTTTATGAGGCAAATTCCTAGAAGTTTTCAATCAAAACTTTTCCTCATCATGTTGTTACCCCCCTGAGATAGAAGAAACTTTTCTTTCAGCTATTGACTTGCTTTGAATAGAATTTCACAAAGATTATTATAAAACGAGCGGAAATGAGGAATAAAAGAGAGAAAATCCCTTTTTGCTGTAGAATCCCAAAAGGTCATTTCATTTTCATACATTTCCGTTCATCATAATTCTCGTCATTCATGAGTGAGAAAAAGATTTTCTTCTCCTTCTCGTCCGTTCCTCTTCTTCTAATGTTTGTGTTTGTTTGTGCACCCAAAAAAAAGAAAATCCTCACTTGTTTGCGTCGTTCACTCGTTTATGTTTACAATTCACTTTGTGCGGCTGATGGTATGGAAAAAAGGGACAAATGTCGAGTGTCGAATAATATTTTACATTTTATTATACGTTGATGATATCGTCATAAATGCGAATATACACAAAGATTTTTTTTTTTGAAAAAAATAGCACAGAAATTAGGGTTCTGTCCGTTCTGTCTGATAAAAAATAATATTATTTTTGAGCTATCAGATCGTAATGATTTGGTCTTTTTTGTGTCTGATTGGATATTTTAAAGGAAAGGCTTTTATCTGAGGCTTAAATTGGAGGTTTTCCCAAAATAGTTTTATGATTTGAAATATGAAAGTAGAGCAATTGGTTAATGCAATTAGCGTGTTTATGCCATGTTAACC